CAGTATTCCAGTTGGAAGTTACCGGATTTTTTCCCAGTGGATTCCGGTCAGTTTCCTGTGTTTTCCGGTCAGTTTTCTGTGTTTTACATCTGGAAGTTGATCGGAATCTACAGGAAAAAAATCCGGTAACTTCCAACTGGAATACTGCTTCCAGTTTCCAGCGCTTTCCTGTGCTTTCCCGCCGTACGTCCACGACCTGGGTAATGACGAGTAGTACGTTGTGCAAGAATAGTGGAACACGCTTTTGAATATTTATCCAAAGGCCACACGACAGTACAACACTTGTAGTCTTCATTGTATGAAATAGATGTGTAATTCATCTTTTTTTTTAGAATGTAAATAAATAATAATTGTCTCTAGAAGATAAAATAAAATGATTCTTTTATGTTGATTGATAGATACACAATGATGTATAAAACATCTCGTCAACACAATCGTGATGTTTTTAAAAGCGTCCAAGAAGAATTATTGAAGTTGGGCATTGAACGAGAACAGAATGATATTGAATTAGTTTTAAACTCTTATAATTTTGATTTAAATAAAACAATAAATGCTTTCAAAAACGGAACAACAAATGACATTCTTTGTGGATGGAAATTATCCTCAAAAAAAAAAGAACATGCAAGAACAGTCAAAAACATCTACACCAAAAAAAAAAGATACTGCTAATTTAACACAGGTTAATGTACATGATACAAGTATAAGCACGTCAGAAGATATCTCAAATAAAGAAGAAACGTGTTCTGATGGTTATGATCCTATTAAAAATATTGCTATATGTGAAAAGTCTATTAAAGAATATGAATCACTGATGAAAACATGCAACGACAGTATTTTAGTTGATTATTATGTAAAATCTGCTATGAAATTACGTGAACAAATTTCACTGTTATTAGAAATTTACAATAAAAAATTTATGAATGATAAATTATCTGAACAAGTAAAATGTGTATCAGAAAAACTTAATTATCTTCTGAAACAAAATAATGTTCGTTTGAAAGAGAATTTAGATTGTTGGGAGTCGAGCTCAAGTAGAACTAAAGACGAACAGGATGATTTCAAGAACAAGCTAATAATATATTATAAATGTGGCGCACAAAATATGAAACAAATAAAATGTATGGTTTTAAATAAGTGGTTTGACCGTTGTATTGTACGTGCATCACATATTTGGAAAGCAGCGACCAAAGGTGTGGGATTAAATGAATTTCAATTACATGAAAGTGATATTCATAATGAAAGAAATGGCTTGCTATTATATGAATCTATTGAGAAAGCATTCGACAGTAAAAAATTATGCTTCATTTATAATCCATTTGCTGGTACTTTACAAGTTAAAATCCTGTGCAATGATCTTAAAAAAATATATATAGTGGACGATGCAAAGAGAAAGAATTTTAATGAATTTAGAACGTTCAATGATATTGATAACGCCGTTCTGAATTTACCTATTGATGTTTTTCCATATAGACGGCTGCTAAATTGGCATGGACGATGTTCATACAAAACGGCCAAGGCAAACAAATGGATGGATGAAAATGAACATTTAGAAGATTTTTTTCATTTGTCAGATTTAATATCATTACCAGGTGATGATTTTGATGAATAAAAAAATAACTTGTATTTTACATGCTATTATTATTTTTTAAACTTTTTATGATATGTAAATGACAGATGCCACATCTTAACGCAATTCTTGTCCACTATTTAGCTAAATAATTGTAAATCGAAAAAAGAAACTGCTTAATGCCACAATAAAGGTAGCATAATTTCTAGAAGTCACATGCTAGACAGTTTAAATGTACAGGTTTTTCTAGATTTGCATGAAAATGATTAAAACGGTAGGAAATGATGTATACAACATGTAAAAAAAGATCAACATTTAGAAATCAATTTTATTTACTAAAGTAAAGTTTATTAGAAATTGATGTTCATTGGAGGAGGTATGTTAAGAAAAAATTGCGTATCCAAAACATCTAATGCTTTTGATATACATGTTTGGAATGTTATTTTTTTAAAAGTTTGGTATAATCATTAATACACATTGATGAAGAAATGAAAGGATTGCTCCGATGCCAATCACTTCAAATAGTTTTATTAACGAATGAAATTTCGAATGCAGGTCACTGTGAATTTTTCAGGCTATTTTGATTGCGTTCTTTTACTTACTCAATTTGTTTTTCGATTATTTCAGATGTGAAAAAGCTAGAAAAATGTTTTTTGAATATTTTCTTTTATGTTGACCCATTGAAGAACTGAAAGATTGATTATTTTTATAGGGTTAATTATTTGAAAAATTTCATTTGAAATTATTATTGACTTATTAATTGAAGCAAAACTAACACATGTATTTTTCTAAAACGAATGAGTCATTGAAAAAAACATGTTATATTAATATTTCCATTCGAAATCTTAGTGAAAATTATCGAAAGTCGACAACTGAAAGATCTTTATTTTTTTGTTTTACTTCATTGGGTGTGGGTGTGGGTGTGGGTGTAGAGAATGTTTGCGCCAATCCTCAAGATACGCATTTTTCATCAAAACCAAAAACATTCTGATGTCAAACGATGATATTTTCTCTAGGACACCGAAATTGAAGATGTTGTTTGAAGTACACTGCGAGTATTAGCGTGAAAATTGTATAGTTCGGATCGATTGATAGAACTTTTCAAGGACTTCGACCTGCCTGTCTTGTTTATTTTTTGTAGTTACTAGTCAACAAAAAACATGAAGAAATGACTTTTGTGATTTTCAATCCAGAGAATGAAAAACAAAAATTATTTAAGAAATACCCAGAAGCTTATTTCGGATATGGAAGTAACTAATCCGTACACTGTAAAAAAAATTCGTAGAATACTAAACCTTAAGGGTTGATGAAAGTGCAACGTATAATAAACCCTTTTTCCGTTTTTGAAAATTTTCATAAACCCTTCAAGGGTTTATGATTAGGTGGAAAATACCCTTTAGGGTTTATGAAAATTTTCAAAAACGGAAAAAGGGTTTATTA